TGCGGGTGCAGCAGGTTGTTGGGGTTGTCCCGGGTGGTACTGAATCGCCCTCTGACTGTGTCCGAGTAGTAAATATTTCTCCCTCTGCTGCCGATGAAGGACACCAACTCCAGCCCGGGAGCCTGCCGGACCCAGTTCATGTTGTAATCGCTGAAAGTGAAGCCGGAGGCTTTGCAGGAGAGGCGCCGAGAGTCTCCGGGCTTCTTCACATCCCCTCCGGACTCCACCAGCTGCACCTGGGAGCGGGTGCCTAGAAACAAGGAGGAATGAACAGTCAGGGGAGTGTCACTTAACAGGGTTGCTTCCTTCTCCAGCACGTTGCTGGGGGAACGAACCTTCCAACGCCGATACAAGGAAAACCAAACGGAGCCAAAGTCTCATTTTCCCTGGTGCTGGCGGGGAAAGTTCTCCGGGGACTGGCTGGTCACTGCCCAGACCCAGGGGGCTGCGGGCACAAAGGGAAGGACAGATTTAAACAGGAAGCTGTCACCCCTATTTGCAGAGCCCGGTCCGTCTTTATAAGAGATGCAAAGTCCTTCCCTGCGCGACCCAGCGTCTGTCCCCCAGATTCCCAGAGGGCGAGGAATGTGAGTAACGTTCTGACTCAACCCTCCCTGGAATCCAAAGGGACGTGACTTGGGTTGCGATTTACTGGGGACTCACTGCTCCCTGGGGAGCAGATATTGAATCTTGGCCTCTCCAATCCCACAGAGCAGGTGTGACAGGAGGAACGAGCCGGAAACTGGAGCCAGAAACTTTCAGCCCGGAGACAGATGTACCAGGGAGAGCGATTAGCCCGAGGCTCGTGGCGTGTTCTCCGCGTTTCCCCTAACAGCTCTGCCGGGGGATGGTTCTGGGGCAGTTCCCTGCCCCGTAGAGTCACCCAGTAAAAGACGGTCAGTCCCTGGGTAAGGCACCACAGGGACCCTTCTCTGCGTGTGAGATGTTTGGGCAGGCGGGTGAGTCAATGTGGGGGCCATAATTTATTACCATTGTTATTCCTGGCGGGAATATCTCCTGGGATCTCCGACCTTCAGCCTTGCCTGGCCCAGGATGATGAGGCAGGCTGGTCAGTGAGGTGGAGCACTAGGCTGCAACTCAGGATACCTGGATCTTGTTCCGTGACACCAGTTCCACTCCTGCTCTGCGATATCCGTGCGTCATTGCTTGTGTGAACTTCATGAAATCTGGACGAGAAGAGTCTCGCCTCGTTGTTTTTGCCCCTCTTTCCCCCA